TTAAATTTAAATTATTCTCAAATTTTAAAATTGCTCTCATTATTATTATTATTATCTTTAAATTAATTAATCAATCAATTTTAATTATTTTTTTTTAATTAATTAACTTTAACCAATTAATTATTTTAATTACTCAATTTGATTTTTTCTTAAAAATCCAAATTGAATTGTTTCCCAATTGCTCCAAAAAGATAGGTTTTATCATTTTTCAGGAAATTTCGGCAGCCTCCCGACGTCTCCTCCCCATCGAGGAAAAAATCGGGACGGCACTGCCATAATTTCTTCCTACCCGGACCTAAGGTCAACGGCGTCGGGCCTTCGAATTTAAGCCATCCCACTAGGATCTAAGATCGACTGCGTGAGTTCTTCAATTTGGTACTATCCCGGCCGGATCTAAGATACAATAGCCCGAGGTCTTCAAATTTTAAAACAATCTGCCCGGATTAAAAATCAACGGCGCAGGTCTTCGAATTTTAAAATCATCTCACCAGATCTAAGATCAATGGCGCGGGTCTTCAATTAGGACATTCCTGACCGGACCTAAGGTCGATAGTACAGGTCTTCGATACCTGTTTGAAAAATCTTTTTTTTCCTTTTTTGAAGCGACGTGGGCGATCTCTGTGAACTGAAGCCGAACAGCGACGACGAAAAAGGAAAGTGACTCGTGCGATCTCTGCGAAGCAACGAAGCCGAAGCAAACGATAGAGTCAGAGTTGAACAGCGAGTGTAAGTTGTTATCTTCGATTCTCCCTTCCTTTTTATCGAGTGATTTGTCAAATGGCAGTTCTGGAGATGAAAGCGACGTCATTTGGTGAGGTGGGGCCGGATTGAGAGCGTGAACTGCTTCGTATCTATTCATTTTATTTCTTTTTTTTAGTATTGTCGATGTTCAAAACACGACAGAGAAGTCCGTTTTGAGATTGAGGGCAATTTGTCCAACAAAAACCACGCACTCAAATCGACGTGATCGACGAGGCAGTCACGTGCAAATTAAGAAAACATGCACGAATCGATGCGACTTCGAGTATTTGACCCCATCTCTGTCATCACGGGATTTAATAATAAAGGTACTTTTATTATTTTGATCAATTAACAAAAAAATTTAAATCATCTTAAGATTAATTACCTCTGCTGTGATCTATGTGCAAATCCCAAAAATCTCGTAGAGAAAACCTCGGACGTCTGCTTAGGTCTTCTCCCCTAAATTACGATCTTGATTGTCGGTGCTCTCGCCTCGAGCAGAGCTTTGTCTTGCCAATAAAATGAAACAAAACAAGCTTTCGCTTTTGCTGTCATTTTTCTCTGTTGCTTATGCCGACTAGCCCTGTATCCTTCTTCAATCCATCTCCAACCAGACTCCCTGCTCCAATTCCGCTAACGACCTCTAGCTGCTCAATCCAATAGTCGATTGAAACCTCCAAGTAGCTGCTTGTCTAAACAATGTCCTTCGATCTCCTCAGGCAGCAGGCAGAGTAGCTGCTTGTTTCCCCTTCTTTCTAGCAGTTGGCAATCCAATCATCATTCCCTCACCTTGTAATAATCACCAAACACCTTGACCAAGCTTTGCAAAGTCGCAGCTTTACCAACCTGTGACCTGCTAGTAATTCAGCCATTTCCTTATAGCAAACTTCCTACCCAAGTGACTCCTATCTTCAAAAGGCATACATCCTGCTACAACAAATGTATTCATCTTCTCCACTACAACCCATTATTAGGAGGCTCGATTAAGCCCTTCTCCACCTAAATCCAGCTCAAATAGAAACTAACAATCTGTCTTTTTTTAGCCCACCCAATCAACTCAACCTACCACTTTAGCCCTCCAAAATAGCTCACTTGCAAGGCCCACAAATCCTACTCAAATGAGCCAATTCCATCCAACCAGCCACTTCAACCATTTTACACCCAAAGAAAATATATGGAAACAATAAATTTCCTCTTCATTCTATTCTTATTTGCATTTAACTAGCGTTAGTTGTTGGTGGTTAACATGCTTAGTGTTGTTAGTATTTACTCTTTAACTAATTATTCCAAATTATATGTATATATATGTATGTGTGCATGCACATATATAAACAAAAAAAAGGACATGTTTCAAAGAAAAAAAAAGAATGAAGAGAAAGGAAGAAAAAAAAGAAAGAAAAAGAAATTTTTGCACATCATCGTCGTCGCCTCGTCAACATCACCACGAAGGTATAATTTCCCAACTTAAACCCCGCATTCGACATCTGTAGCAAGCCAGATGACCCCCTATACCGCTCTCATAGCACACTAGGAGGAAGCCCAGTGTGACGCTTATGGTGAGGCGGATAGGCCATATACACACAAGCGTAGCATGGTGGGGAAACTTATAAGTATCTGTACGTGCCTTAGCGCTTGCGAGAAAAAAAAATAATTGCGTGTTTTCAAACAAGTACCTCGAAGACTCATACACGCTCTCATAGCATGGTGGGATGACCCAGACTCTTGAAATTTCCCCTGTACGGGGGAGACATCGGGAGACTGCCAAAATTTAGAGCAAATGGGGGAGTTGGTTTGAACAACTAGAGACTTGAACTTAGACTGAGTGACAATGAACTTGCACTGAATGACAAAGAACTTGCAAACTAAATGACGATGAACTTGCCAACTGAACGATAATGGATTTGATTTGAACTACAAGGAATATAACTTAATGCAATGAACCGGACTTTAAATTAGCAAATGAACAATTATATAAAAATTGTGAATCCTAAAATATGGTTCAAAATCATTGAAATAAACTTTCTTGAATATCAAATGACTGATGATGAATAAAATCCCTATATCTTATTCTAAAGCAATAAATAATATGAGCATGATGAGTGAAAGGTAAGGATAATTGCAATCCAAGAATGAGGCATATCCATCATCTACAACAAATTTAATCTCAAGCAAACATATTGACCCCCTCTCTAAGCAAAAAAGAATGTGACATGCAAATGAATACACCAACTTATCTAGAAGTGATGATGTTATATGTTTCATGGGTATGGCGGTTGCCCTACGAATGTATCTAAGGAGATCGCAACAACACCCTGTGACCGACATCAGAATACAAGCCAGTATGTTTGACCTGACAAGCAATGAAATGGGAAGAGAATTCATATTTGATTGCAAAATAAATATACAAGGCACCTAAATGATATCGTAAATTGTATGCAAATGATGATGGTTGATTTGTGATATTCACACAAGTCACATAAGAAGACATAATAGTCTTTATAATCAGCGATAACATACATGTCGCAAGGATGGTACATTCCTCCCATGAGCATAAGATGCATACACAATATGTCATGTGTAGGCAAAAATAGCATGACCTACAAAGCACCTACCAGCAAGCATGGCAAGAGGCAACAAACTTACGTGGAATGAGAACTCGCGAGCATAAATTAAAAACATATCATATGCACAATAGCATGCATACAAATTGAAATAGCAAATACATTTAACCCCGCAAGTAAAGAAAATGAAGTTGATAACAATCTTCGTATCAGTCATGTAAGAAGATACGGCAGTCCCCATTACCTCCATGTGCAAACACTGATGAAAGGTCATAGATGACGGAGGACATTAAAACTTGCCCACAAGTGACTGTAGAAGGTTCATTATGTACACAGTGATCCATCTACGGGTGACAATGAGCAACGTGCAGTAGGTGCTAGATCCCTCCTACAACCAGTAATAGATGCACACATAACCTATCATCTGCGGGTGAAAGCAGCATATCTTCAATACATACATACGAATCTATAAATCATCTTAGTAGAAGGAAATGAATATTACGACACCTTTATGATCAACTAGTACGTACGTTGATCCATTATAGACAGAAATGTATGATATGTAGCAAACTGTAGACATTTATGACCATAATAGAAGATTTGTCAATGAACAATAATGCATTAGTAGAAAACAACAAATAGTGCACGACAATCTACCTATGTGAAACGAGCAAATAACTATAATATGACGCCACGCTGCCAAATCCACAACATCCTTACAAGTAGACATAAGACGTTTATATATTCCCAAAGGAAATCGTGTGCACTTTTCAACAACATCTCATCTGCCTAAAGCAACAAACAATTCACACCCACGAGGTCATGCTATAGAATATGTAACATGCATATAAGTGGACAAAAGATGTCTATAAGCTCTCAAACAGAGCATCACACATATTTAACGACGATCAACCACACGACCGATCAACATCAAATATTCCAAAAATGCCCCCACACATGCACTGCAACAAGTATGCACTCGAATGCAAAAGTGCACAAGCAAGCACATTAACCTACATACATGCAAGAATATATACCTACATGGGCCCCGATAAGCGTGCCATGGGTACACACATGACGTCTGAGGATGCTATGCGGGTCAAACAATAAACCTAAGTTCAAGCCCGATTGTTGACCTCAAATTTGGCTTGCAAAATCATCCCGTCGATCGCCGATAAGTTTCCAACTGAGCCAATTTTGATTTAATTGAAGTTGTTTAGTTTGCATAATTTTAATTCGACAACGTCGAAAAAGCTGTTTTAAGAAGCAATAAGAAAGCCGTCCCAAAAAAAGCCTGAGTGGATGCTGCACTACCATAAAAAAAAATCACAAACTACATAGGCAATCAATGAGCTCCTCAAAGTTGTTCAAGATCGGCTGAGCAGTATATGAGATCAACAAGAGATGAAAGTGGAAATCAAAGTTGAATGAGAAGTGAGACATGCCGTTGATATGTGCTTGAGACAGATCATAAGCATAACAAATGAAGAACAAGGTCTGAAACGAGAGTTCCCAAGGACAAAAGATCTCAAGTGGCGAGATAAAAAACTTCAAATGGTGGTTCGGATATCATTCCAAACAAAACAAGCATATTATTTGCCCTGGCCTAAAACCTTATCCTCATTATATAGAAAATAATATGGATGAAACAAGAAAGCAAAGCAATCCTTCACAAGCCAAACTTTTCTCACGCCCAAATTTATGTATCACTTAACTTTTTTCTTATTTATGATATAAATCTGTACAATTAAAAAATTGCAGTGTACATTAAACAGATTCACCTTACATAGAAAAGCAGGTTACGAAGGAAAAAAGAGAAATCCCTAATTAATGTATAAGAGAAAAGAAAGCCTCCAACATGGCTTCACTAATCAATACACCATACTTGTTCGAGTATAAACCATCAACCAAAGCATTAATATCGGTCATGGCATCAGCAGCACGAATCCGAACATACTCATCAAGGTTATTTTCACTTCCATCTAAAAAAAGAGATGAAAACTGGAAAATAAGATACGAGAGAATTTTACAAAGTTGATTCCAGAATCAAGCAGGTCTTAAGATAACTGCATGCATTATCTTAAGTTTTACCAAATTTGGAGATTATGTTAGGGTAATCACCACCAAAATTCCCCCAAGTTTAAAGCATATTTCACTTCACACAGGTTCACAGTTGTTAAAAACCTCCACATTAGTCCCTAGCATCTTTTGTGATTTCACAATGGCACCAACTTAATTCTGGTCTTCAATGTCATCCTTTGGGTCAGGCGGCTTCACAAATTCGTTGTTAAATTCAATCATGTAAAACTTCATTTGATTTCTTTGGAAACTTGGATAACTCCTGAAGACAATAGTGGCCCTCCCTGTAAGATGGAATGTTAAGGCACAAGTGGACAGATGGAGGCAGAAGGAGATCGACCAGAGGATTGCCAGAATCTGCACGGAGACATGATTTTTTATGAAGGAGATTGATCAGATGGGCCTAAGTTGCTGAAATAACCCGCTAGGGATGTGGCTGAAGAGGATGTTCTCACCGGGATTGACAATGGAAGCTTTAAAGCAGGCAAGGTCAGGGTAGAGTGTGATGGAGAAGCAGTGGGAAAGGGAAAGCTTTTGGAGGAATTTTAACTTGAGGGAGCTAAGGATATCTTCATTGAGGCACAGCCTGCTAACTGTGCTGGTGTCAGAAAAGAGAGGAAGAAGAACAAGAGCAATGGAGCCTCTAATGCCTTATCTCGACTGTGGAGTAGAAATTAGCAGAGGAGCATGAGAATGGCATTTTGCGGAAGATGATGTGAGAAATTCCAAGCGGCAGCTAAATTATCTGAGATCTCAAACACGAGGACACTGGTGAGGACACTAGGGAGAGGAGAAAAGGAGGCATCAGCATCAGAATCACAAGAGGAAGGAAGCTGAGGGAAAATGTAGGTGTTTTTCTTATTTTCTCTCAATTGATAGTTATGTTAATAAAAGGATCTATTACCCGGAAGGAAGGGGAATTGCTGTTTTTGAAGTTCCAAATCCAGAATTTGTGATTTTTCAAATGCCGAATTGTGATGGCGGCCAAAAAGGTGGATGCTCTGGAGGAATGGCTTGAAGGGGAGATGAATCAAATCAAAACGATGGTGGAGGAAATGATTTCCTCCATGGAAGGACAAATCGCCGATCTCCGAGACATGCTGAAGAAGATGTTTGAAATTCAAAATCAAACGGCGGCTTTTGTGGCAAGAGGGGAAGGGAAAAGTACGAATTCAGAAATTCGTAGGGAGGAAGATGAGGTGGAAATCATGGAATGAGAGAGAAGGCTCCATCTGGAGCCTATCCAGAGGGAAGAAAGAGGGGGTGGATATGGGGAATGCCAGGAGGGATACTATAGTCGTCGAGGTGCTGATTTGGAAGACAGAAGGGGGAATTTCGAAGGGGGTTTGGGCTATGATAGAGCAAGGGAGGACCGGGAAACATGGGGTGCACCTAGCACTTGGGAGAGGGGAAACTATGGAAGAATCCGAGGCAATGGGGGCGACCAGAAGGTGAGCAGTTGAAGATGCCCATATTCGAAGGAGAAGATGCGTATGGGTGGATTTACAAGGTGGAGAGATACTTCGCCGTCAATGGGCTGACGGAGGAGGAGAAGTTGATCGCAGCCGGATTGTGCTTGTAAGGAAAAGCCCTGTCGTGGTATCAGTGGAGAGATCAGAGGAGGCCTATCAGGAACTGAAGGGAATTCAAAAACTGCGTAATATAACGTTTCCAAACCGACCGGGGAGGAGATTTCTATGAGCAGTTCTTTGCTCTTGTGCAGGAGGGATCAGTAGCAAACTATCGTGAGCGGTTCGAGCACCTGGCTAGTAAGGTGGAACGATTATCAGATATCGTATTGGAGGGGAACTTCATGAAGGGGTTGAAGGCAGAGATCCGAGCGGCAATGAAAGTTCTGATGCCTAGTGACTTGGAGGAGGCAATGAAGTTGGCATAACTGGTAGAAAATCAGAATAATCTGGAGAAGGGAGCCAGGAGCAGCAGCTCAAAAGGCTCTTACAAGACTACGACCACTCTTTTAGCACCCAAGGGGCTTGCATCAGGCAACATTAATGAGACCACCAGGGAGAAGCCAGTAGGAGAAGGGAGTGGGGACAACTTCAAGAAGCTCACTGAGACAGAATTATAGGAGAAGAGGGCAAAGGAGCTTTGTTTCAGATGTGACGAGAGGTATACACCGGGGCACAGGTGTAAGGACCGAACTCTTCAGGTTCTTACTGTTTGTGATGAAGAAGGAATGGAGGGTGTTGCCTTTCCACCTTGCGGACAAGGTGAATCTTTGGGAGGGGAGTATTATTAGACCGGTCCACTGGACCGGACCATCCGGTCCAGGCGGGACCGGCTTAAAAGGGCGGAACAGTGAAATTTTTCGCCTGGGCGGAGGTCGTACGATTCGCCAGCTTTGCGGGAGCGTTTTAGGAAGGAATTTTGAGGAAGATTAGGAGGGAAATTGAATGTAGGGACTGTTTAGAGAATTCCTTTTGATTTGTATGCATTAAATACTTTGTTTTCCTAGGGTTAGGGCATCTTGAATTTGGCTGAAATTTGAGATCTCTTAGATTTAGGATTTCTTTGGGCTCTAGCGGCGTCTAGAGATTTGGGAGAGATCGATCCTCCTCTCGAATTGAGGATCAATTGTATCTTCCTATTTTATTCATAGTCTAGTGGAATACAAGCTTTTCTTTGAGTTTTCTCTCAGATTTTCCCTGAATGAGTGTTCTTTTTCTGCTGTAAACAGCAGAAATCTGTTGTTTTCTGTTCTGAACAGCAACATTTTCACTGTTTGATCTCCGATTTGGATTAGGGTTGCTTGCGAACTCAAGTATTACCTTAGGGTCACTTGCGAACTCAAGTATTTCCTATCAACATGATTTCTGATGAAGGAGATTGATCAGATGGGCCTAAATTGCTGAAATAACCCGCTAGGGATGTGTCCGAAGGGGATGTTCTCACCGGGATTGACAATGGAAGCTTTAAAGCAGGCAAGGTCAGGGTAGGGTGTGATGGAGAAGCAGTGGGAAAGGGAAAGCTTTTGGAGGAATTTTAACTTGAGGGAGCTAAGGACATCTTCATTGAGGCACAGCCTGCTAACTGTGCTGGTGTCAGAGAAGAAGAGGAAGAAGAACCAGATAAATGGAGCCTCTAATGCCTTATCTCGACTGTATAGTAAAAATTAGCAGAGGAGCATGAGAATGGCATTTTGGCGGAAGATGATGTGAGAAATTCCAAGCGGCAGCTAAATTATCTGAGATCTCAAACACGAGGACACTGGTGAGGACACTAGGGAGAGGAGAAAAGGAGGCATCAGCATCAGAGCTGGGAAGAATTCAAGGACAGTTTGATAGAGCATTTCCAAACCGACCGAGGAGGAGACTTTTACGAGCAGTTATTTGCCTTAGTGCAGAAGGGGTCTGTGGCGGACTACCAAGAGAGATTTGAGCAGCTAGCCAGCAGGGTAGAGCGCTTGTCCGATATTGTGCTGGAGGGGAACTTCATGAAGGGGTTAAAGGCAGAGGTTAGAGCAGCGGTGAAGGTCCTGATGCCCAAGGACCTGGGGGAGGCCATGAAGCTTGCACAACTGGATGAAAATCAAAAGAATATGGAGAAGGGAGCTAGGAATAGTAGCTCATGAGGCACTTACAGGTGGACGACTACCCACGTAACCTCCAAGGGAGCGTCCACAGGAGGGATGAAAGAAGTTCCGAAGGAAAAAAGCAACAGGAGGAGGAAATGGGGGGCAGTTTAAGAAGCTTACTGAGAAGGAAATACAAGAGAATAGAACAAAAGGGCTGTGTTTCCGATGTGACGAAAAATACATGCCAGGGCATAAGTGCAAGGATCGAACTCTTCAAGTTCTCATCGTTTGTGAAGAAGAGGAAGACGAAGAGGGAGGGGGGGAGCGGTTCTGAGGTGGAGGAGGAAAAGCTGCATCTGGATGTGACAGAAGTCTCTCTTAACTCCGTAGTGGGATTCACTCCGAGTCACACTATGAAGGTGAAAGGAGAGATAGCTGACCGTGAAGTTGTGGTGTTAATCGATAGTGGGGCAACCCACAATTTCATTTCCACCCAGATTGTGGAGCTGCTGGGGATGGATTTAGTAGATACAGGAGGCTATGGGGTGATGATGGGCACAGGAAATGTAGAAATGGGAAGAGGAGTCTATAGAGGGGTGGTGGTGAAGATCCAAGGTATCCAAGTGAAGGAAGACTTCCTTCCCCTAAAATTGGAGAGTACGGATGTCATCCTAGGGATGAAGTGGTTGCCAACCTTGGGGGAAACCAAGATCAATTGGGGTACTCTGAGGATGGAGTTGGTGAAGGGAGGAAGGAAGAGGATGATTCAAGGTAATACAGGACTGACCAAGGAAGGGGTTTCTTTCAAATCCCTAATCAAGACAATTCAGGAGGAGGGGGAAGGCTATTTGGTGGAATTACACAGATTGGATGGAATGAGTTTGGAGGAAGGGGGAGACATACCCCTCTCTGTACAGCCTTTGATCCATGAATTCTATGAGGTTTTTCAACCACCTCTAAGGTTGCCACCACCCAGGGAGCAGGAGCATGCCATCACATTGAGGGAGGGAGGGTCACATGTCAACGTACGACTTTACCATTACCCTCAGTTTCAAAAAGACGAAATAAAAAAGCTGATCAGAGAAATGCTGGAAGCATGGATCATCAGGCCCAGCACTAGCCCATTCTCTAGTCTTATTCTATTGGTGAAGAAGAAGGATGGCAGCTGGCGGTTCTGTGTAGATTACCGCGCACTCAACAAGAAAATTGTACCTGATAAGTTTCTTATACCAGTGATTGACGAGCTGTTAGATGAATTGAGTGGAACAGTGATCTTCAGCAAGATCGACTTGAAATCAGGATATCATCATATTCGAATGAAGAAAGAAAATGTGCTCAAGACCGCTTTTAGAACTCATGAGGGCCACTATGAGTTCCTAGTGATGCCCTTTGGCCTCACCAATGCCCCAGCCACGTTCCAGGTACTCATGAATAAGATCTTCAAACAGTATCTCAGGCGATTTGTTTTAGTATTCTTCGATGACATCCTAGTGTATAGCAGAACAGAGGATGAGCATTGGGGGCATTTGAAGAAGGTGTTAGAGGTTCTCCAGGAGCACCAGTTGACGGTTAACTTGAGAAAGTGCTGCTTCGCACAAGCCAGTGTGGAGTACATGCGGCACGTGGTATCCAAGGAAGGGATAACAGCAGATTAGTCCAAGATTAAAGCCATGTTAAAGTGGCCACTGCCTAAAAATCTGAAGGAGTTGAGGGGATTCCTAGGGCTTACAGGGTACTACAAAAGATTTGTGAAAGGGATACAACACTATAGCATGGCCACTCACTGAGCAGTTAAAGAAAGATGAGTTCCTATGGGGGGAGGCAGCCACGATAGCATTCGAGAAGTTGAAGAGAGCTATGACCAAAGTCCCGATCTTAGCTTTGTCGGATTTTACTCAGGACTTCATAGTAGAGAAAGATGCATCGGGGTATGGATTAGGAGCAGTGTTGATGCATAGTCATAGGCCCATTGCCTATTTTAGTAAGGTGTTGACTGCCAGAGCCCGATTGAAATCTGTCTATGAGAGGGAATTAATGGCAATCATTTTGGTCATCCAAAAGTGGCGCCCCTATATACTCGAGAGACATTTCATCATCAGGACCGACCAATAGAGCCTGAAATATTTGCTGGAACAACGCATGGTGACAGAGGAGCATCAGAGGTGGCTATCCAAACTACTGGGATATGATTTTGAGATTCAGTACAGGCCAGGGGTAGAAAATAAGGAAGCAGATGCATTGTCAAGGTGCATGGGGGAGCTGCAGACAATGGTTGTATTAGTCCCAATGGTGCTGGATTGGGAAGCCATCAAGGAGGAGAGTGCCATAGATGAGGAACTAGACAAGATCAGGGCTGACTTACTAAAGGAAGAGGGAAGCCATCCAGGGTACTCATTGGAGGGGGAGAGATTGTTGTACCAGGGGAGGTTTGTGTTGCCAAGAACATCAATTCACATTCCACATTTGCTCCAAGAGTTTCATGGGACTGCAGTGGGAGGTCATTCAGGAGTGCTAAATACCTACAGAAGACTGACGGCAGAGCTGTACTAGAAAGGTATGCATAAGGATGTGGAAGAGATGGTATCCAGGTGCAAGGTTTTCCAAAGGAATAAGTATCTAGCTATGTCACCAGGGGGGTTACTGCAGCCATTGGCTTTACCAGGTCGAGTCTGGGAGAAGGTATTTATGGACTTCATTGATGGGCTACCCCGCTCTGAGGGATTCACTGTGATTTTGGTGGTGGTGGATAGATTGAGCAAATATGCTCACTTCATTCTTTTACGCCATTCATACACTACGATGACAGTACCGTCAGCATTCATCAGAGAGATAGTCAGATTACACAGCGTACCATAAGCAATAGTATCAGACAGGGATAAAGTGTTCCTCAGCCATTTCTGGAAAGAATTGTTCAGACTGTAGGGGACTGTGCTGAAAAGGAGTACTACTTACCACCCACAGACGGATGGTCAAACAGAAGTAGTCAACCGGAGCTTGGAGACTTATCTGAGATGCTTTGCGTTAGAGACACCCAAGCATAGCTTAAATGGCTATCATGGGCCGAGTATTGGTACAATACCTCTTTTCATTTCGGCTTCTCAGATGACCCCGTTCAAGGTGTTGTACGTAAGGGATCCGCCCCACTTGGTGCATTTTAGGAGTAGCACTCCAGTTTCTTCAGTAGAGGAGTACTTGGAGGAGAGTGATAAGATACTTGAAGAGTTAAAAAGACATCTGTTGAGAGCTCAACAGATTATGAAGAAACAAGCTGATGGGTATCGGAAGGATATTCTGTTTGAAGTGGGCGAGAGGGTGTTTTTGAAACTCCGTCCATATCAACAGAAAACAATCGCCAACCGAAGGAATGAGAAGCTTGCTCCAAGGTACTTTGGTCCTTATGAAGTGTTGGAAAAAATTGGAGTCGTGACATATCGTTTGAAGCTACCACCTAAGGCAATGATACACCCCGTTTTCCATGTATCCCAGCTGAGGAGAGCCATTGGAGATTATGCTACCAATTCGAAGTTACCAGGGACATTAACTGATGAGATGGAAATGAAATTGGAACCTTTGGAGCTTATGGAGGTTCGTCAAAAAGCAGATGGAACTATAGAAGTCCTAATCAAATGGAAGAACCTCCCTGACTACGAGGCCACGTGGGAGTCATACGAGCGGATGAAACGATAGTTTCCTGACTTCCACCTTGAGAACAAGGTGGTTCTTTGGGAGGGCGGTAATGTTAGATCGGTCCTCTATGGACCGGTCCAGTCGGCCCAGTCCCTTGGGCCGGTTCATTTTGTTTACAGATGGAGGGGGCCGGCGGCATCTAGGAGAGAGGGGTGGGGTCCACTTGATATTCAAATTCAATCTTGGAGCCAAAAGGGGGGCGGCAAGGGAAATTAGGTCCTTTTGTATTAATTTTGAATTTCATGCATTAAGGGGGAAAAGCTAGGGTGGGTTAGGGTTATGTGAAATTTTCTGAAAATTCTATTGGGTTTCTCTTGTGGCAAGGGCTCTAGATTGTTTTCTAGAGATTGGGAGAGTGTGATCCTCCTCTCGAATAGAGGATCTCTTGTATCTTGGTTGTTTTTCTTGCATCTACCATTAATATCAAATATTTTGGTGTGATTTCTCTCAAGTTTTCTCTCTGTTTTCCCTGTTTTTCCTCTGTTGGCTGCTGTTTTCCTGCTGTAAACAGCAGTTTGGTTGTTGTTTTCTTCAAGTATTTCCTACATTATATTTAAAAACACTAGTTTTTCTAATGATTGCATGCTTCAGAATCAATGCTTATGATGAATCCATTAAATAATTATGAAGGATTATCTATATATTTTATGACGATCGAGATAAACTAATTTTTCACTCATTTGATCATGATTAGCAAAGTCATGATGGATGTTAGTGAAAAATATGTCTGAATAAAATGTCCATTTCTATTAAAGCTTATGGTTGATTAGAGGGGAGCAAAAATAAGGCATAAAAAGTAGTTTCATATTTACATTAAGATAGGTAGACCTATGATTACATGGACAATAAGTTATTCAAAATGATTTGTCAAGAGTAATTTTAAGATCCCTGGCAACGCTCGATAGGGACAAATGAAAAAGAAAGATTCATAAAGCTGGCTGCAATTTATTGGTACAAGGCTAATTATGGTGATGGTGATGATGATGATGATGATGATTGGCTTTCTCACACAACTGACATTCTCAAACAAGTAACCCTCATATAGTCAGAACTTAGTTCATAGCTTCTTTAGCATGGCCACTTTTTCAAATTCATGATTTCATTCTGCCAGGTAGAATTTTATGTCTAGGTCAGCTTTATCAAAAGCCGTACAATCCTTCCTATTTATATGTAGAAGGCCCTAACTATGTGCTCAGAATAGCTGTCTTATAGAGCTTTATCATGTACAATTAAATGCTACTTTATTATTGGAAAAAAAAAATATTAGTCAAGATGTTGTGGCTATTGATAACCTTATTGGATTTCATCCAGAAGGGGAGAGCTTTATAACTAATCTTACAATGCTCACAATGCCATAAATGGCATAAAAAAGAATGCCCATTTTATAACATATACTCATGTATTTTCCTCGTGGACAAAAAATTGGATTAACCAAGTAAAAAATGACTGATTTTAAATAGGAAAAACAATTCATATTCTGTGTTTCAGTGAAGATTAGCTTAGTTCAAAGGAAAAGAAATTATTGACAAAATGGACATGGAAGTTTCAAGGAAAGGTGCAAGTGGAAAGCAATACAGCAATTTTTGAAAAACAGATAATCCCATTCTACACATCACAGTGACATAGCAACTAACAGTCATAAAAGAATTCGGATGGGCTAAGTAATAAATAATAATAAAATAATAATAATAATAATATAAAATAATAATAATAATAATAATAATAATAATAATAATGATAAAAAAATAAATAAAAAAAAGATGAACCAATAATGAAACTAACCAAATATATTGACTAAGAACCACGAAAAACTGAAATTTACCTTTTATACGTAGACTTCAGTGGTAAATGTAGGCGAAAAGTTTCTGAAACATACTGGTCAAGTGGAAGAGGGAAGGGAAGACTGGAATCCAAATCCCAAATTAGGTGAGATGAACGTCCTTCTTCAGCATTTTTCTGATTTACAATCTACAGACCAGTCCACAAAGAAAATTATGACAACATACTGACTAAAGTCACTAAACCAAGCCTACTGTTTAGAATTTTAGGTAGCATTTAGATGGTAGGAACTTGAATAGAAGGAAATTAAAAAAAAAAGGTTGAATAGTTTAAATCAATGGCTTGTAGATTCATAATCAACCCATAAATTGTTGTGTTTACAGGTCATTTCCTTCACTTCAATCCAAACAAAGCCTTACATAGCTAAAAGACAAGCAGTTGGATAACTGTAAATCATCAAAATACTTCAGATTTACCTGAATGCAAATCACATGATAATCCCAAATCACCAACTTATCTGATGATTTGCTTGCTTTCTGATTCCATAGTGGTATCTAAAAAATGAAACAAAAAATAATCACTATAGAAAGCAGATGAAAGAGAACACAATCAGTAACGGCAAATCTATGCAACATGTGCCTGTCTATTCACTCAAGCATACATTTTCATAATCTAAAAATTACTGAATTGAGGGCTCCGAAAATCCTTGCCCCAACCTCTCTGCGGACCCCTTCCTTTCTTTCTTCCTTTTCGAGTCGCCGAGGAGAGTTTTAACAATTAGGTTCCGAGGTAAATTTTCAGAAGGCAGATTGGTTTGTAGATAAGTCACTACCCAGAGATTTCGCCCTCATTCTGCGAGTACTTTATGATCCGGATTCAGGTTTCCTATAGGTGCAAGTCCCTATAGCTAATTACCCCTCCCGATAATAAGAGAAAACTTTCGATTAAAGCCAATCATCAAACAGATACATAGTATCCGACATATAGTAGCAACAGGTTTGATACGTAAAAATTTAATAATTTAAAATTGAAAATTTCATCATCTTGCACTTAAAGTAGATGGTGGAGAGAATTATGATGAGCCCGATCAGACAAAGGGCTTTGTGCCCTATCGATTATATCATATTGAATCATTGATTCATTGCTCAATTATATTTTTATTGATTGAACATTGTCGACTCTATCAATTTACTAACAGAGGATCGGGATCAAACTTATGATCATTTGTTAACCCGTGTAGCATCCTCAGACGTCATGTGTGTAACCATAACACGCTTGTCAGGGCCCATATGAGTATATACTATTGAATGCATTTTGCACAATACATTTATATGATTGTTATATATATGCATGATATTACTGGGATGAAGCCCTTTGCATATTGCAAATACATGGGGAGGATACTTTGAAATGTAATTGCAATGTCCAATGATATGCTTGAATGAAACCTCTGCATCTTTCTAATGCATGCAAGATGTCATTTTAAATTATGATTGTAATGTAAAATGACACTATTGAATGAAAACCTCTGCATCTTAACGATATATGTGAGAGGTCATTTTGACATGTAATTACGATGTCAGATGGCACGATGGAATGAAACCCTCGACATCTTACAAATACATGCCGGAGGTTGTTTTGGGGTGTAATTGCAACATCAAATGACATGCTTGAATGAAATCCTCTGCATCCTACCAATGCATGCAAGAGGTCATTTTGAATTGTAATTTCAATGTCATGATATGCTAGAATGAAACCCTCTGCACATTGTCAATGCATGCTTATCATGGAAGCACATCAATACGTATTTTAATGCATAATAGGGGTGTTTTACATGAATTATTATGCTTGATGTAATGCATGTATGAAGGCATTTTAAAATATTTGTATGCAGTGCAAAGGGGTATTTTTGTGATTATCGACTATGGTATTTTTGCTTATAGGTAGATCGTAGCATTATTACCTAGCGCAACCATAAGATACTTCATTGTTCTAGTGTAGGCTACATCCTTATCCTTAGCAGCAATAACATAAGTTGCATTCTGCTTTTGTTGATAAGTTACAAGTACATCACTTAGTCCAACAAGCTTTCTTATGATTGTTTTTTTCAACCTTAGAGATTAGATTCATAAGTCACTTGATCCTTGCTTAGACTAGATAAGGACATCCAAACAACATGATATCGTTTTGAGATAAATAAGAGATCATAATTTGATGAAACCAAAGGCTCGCCTGGTATACTATTATATTTCTTTTTCCTCACTTTGTCGCAAGGTAGCCTCCTTGAATCATGAACAAGACAATATACCGGATAATTTTCTGTATATCAACGACATTCTAACATCTTATATGCATATAGGACATGGAAGTTTCTCCTGTAGTCTTTGGCATAGAAACCAAGGGCGGCTTTCTTCAATCTACAACTGCAACTTTTAACGGTGCACGTGTAGAACATTAAGTTGTAAGCTGTAATCTACGAGTATTTGTCTTTTATTCAAATAATACGGCATTTCTTCGGGAACTTCAGTGTTTCTGAAGAAATGATAGAATGAGACGTTTTTTTTAACTGCTCATTCTTTGACTCTATAGAATCATTCAACTTTGCACGTTTAGAACTTCACACGCTTGGTGTCACAGTTAGAGCCTCCTGCTAGTAGCAAATCAATAGGTTTCTTACAACAGCTTGCAGACACTTGCGGTTGGTAGAAGTCTTCGATATTTCTACAGAGATGATAAAATGAAACACTTCTTCAACTGATCATTCTTTGACTCTGCAGAATCATTCAATTATACATGCTTCACGTCACAGTTGGAGCCTTGCTTTGATGAAGTATCAACAGGCTTCCTCCGTACATCAAGTTGCCTTTATACCCAACTGCCAATATCAGAGTCTTTTGAAATTATCAATTGGAGGACTTAATCGTACTTGATCAACAAACCTTTCAGCTCTGGCAGACTTAGCATGCTTTTATGCTTATCTCAATCATTGTTGTTGTAGGTGACTGTAAAGAGCATTGTTGTTTGCAGGTGAGTTAGTGTACTCGTCTGCAAGGAGTTTGTGCATCTGCTAGGTGCTTGGTTATCATTGACATTAATGGCATCTTCACAATCATTACACGTCCAGCGTGCTCATCTGCATGTTGCTGTTGACTACTAATGACATGCATTTATTGTCGATTTCCCTGCATTTGTTGGTCGGCAGCATGTAATGGGTGCACCGAATCTCCTACGGTAGCTCGTAGGTGTTTGCACTAGTTGTACATTTTCTACTCTTGCTTGTAGTTGGTTGATGCACTTGCTTGTATTGATTGTACGAAATGCTCCAACATCTATTGCATGTTGCATGCATAAGCATACAAAAGATATTATCATTTGCAGGCGGGCTAAGTTGTTCAGCTGCATATTGAAGTGGGTTACCAGTTGAATCACATTCACCATTGATTTCCCTTATGCATGTCAACTAGCAAGTTACTCTTCACCATACATCTCTCTTCTAAACTTGCAAGGTACTAATGTACTTGCTAGATAATTGTTTGTATGTATTTAATACACCCCCTTCAGACGTACTTTAGAGGGGCCATCGCATCTCTTGTCAGCCTTTGTAGAGATTTTAATGCGTTTGTTTGCATATCCATTGTATGCACACTGCATTTGCTTCGAGTTCTGCAACTTAACAAGCTCCTTTTGCATTTGGTTTCACATCAAATATGCTTGCTAGATAGTTGTTTGTATGTATTTAATACACCCCCTTCAGACGTACTTTAGAGGGGCCATCGCATCTCTTGTCAGCCTTTGTAGAGATTTTAATACGTTTGTTTGCATATCCATTGTATGCACACTGCATTTGCTTCGAGTTCTGCAAATGCATCTTGATTGGCCACTCACTGCATGATCAATCATTATTGTTTGCATGGTTAAGTATGCTTACAGGACATTGTTACTGTTGATTGTGGGGCATTGTTGCATTAATTACTTCTCGCCTTTATGTGAGTTGTTGTGTGCTCAATAGGTATTATGTTCTTGTTTGCAAGTGCCGCCACTTCAGTCAACAAGCTGGCTATTATTTGCATTGCAAGTTTTTTGTTGTTGCATATGGGAAGTACTTATTTCTTTTGCAGTTGACTATCGTTGCTTGCAAGACATTCATGTGTGAAAACTTCTCACAACGAGTCCCCAGCTTGTTATACTTGTTTGAATGCACTGAATTTATCATTTTTTGGCACACATTTCTTTATTTGAATGTGCATTTTTAAATTTAGGGTTTTGTTCCCTGCTGTTCAATTCAAATTCAGTTCCCTATTGTTCAGTTTGAATAAGGTTCCCTATAATTTCAATCACGTGCATCTTCACTCTGAATTTCAGTAGCACCCTGACATATCCCCCTTCAGGAAAAAATTTGGGGAGCTGGGCCTTCCCACCATGCTAAAAAGCATGTATGGTAGGTGTCGGGTGACATCGAGGCAGTAGTCTTTAATCCCAACACGCCAAAAAAGGCATGTATGGGTCTTCAGAGGTACCTGCTTTGAAATGCAAATTTTTTTCACGGCAGACACTGAGAGGCGTACGGGTACTTAAAGTTTCCCTTGTCACGCTAAGAAAAATGTGCACAGGGCCTATCTGCCTCGCCGCAAGTGTTGCGAAAGGTTTCCTCCTACAACGCTAAGAAAAGCATGTATATGAGATTTCCCAACGCGTCACAAACGCCGAGGATAAGATTTTGAGTTTGAGGGTCTATACTTTGTGCGACGATGTCGAGGCTGTGGCGATAGAGAAAATACACAATAATTCTTCTTTTTTTATTTGTTCATTTTTTCTCTTTTTTTTCTTTTGCATAATAATAATCATTGTAATTATTATTATTGCTATAATGATAATTATAATTATAATTACAATAATTAACATTAATTACAACCATAATTGGCTAAACAAATTAACATAGCAAATGAGAAATTTCACCTTGCTATTTTGAGTTGAGTCAGAGGTCAGGCAGGTTGGCTTGATGGAGTCAAATAGAAGAAGACTCGTGGAGATCAGGCCGAGGAGGTGGTCTTGGTTGTGGATTAATCGAAGGGTAGAGGAAGAGATGTATGGAGGTTCGCGGCTTCTAGGTAGATCAGGTTGCTAGGAATTCGACAGTAACAGGGCTAGCGGCAGGATTTGAATCGGCTGAAAAGGCTCGGTCGAGACATCAATTGAGGTAGGGTGGAGGTTCGAAGGGTTCTGAGGTGGAAGGATTCGGGGGTCGAGTAATTGAGGCTTGCGGTTGGATTAATCGGTGCAAGCTGTGAGATTGTGCCTGGTTTTGAGATGTGGAGTTCAGTAGTTTTGGTTGTAAGATGGCTTCAGGCTACCGTATGGATGGGACTAGGGGATCGGATGGAGGTATCAAATGGCTAGGAGTACGGATTAGCATCGAGGAGAGCTTGGTTCTTACGGCAGAGGAAGATCAGTCGACTTGCAGATGAAGGGAGGTAGGGGTTTCTATCTGTAGGGAGCAGGAACGAAAAGGAAGCGGGGAAGAGAGGATTTGTGAGGAAGCTTGGCTGGTTAATCGTGGAAGGAAGAGGAATGGGAGAGCTCTCATGTGCGGGAAGAAGAATAGACTGGAAGAAATCATTCCTTCGTCCCTTTAACGTCGAGGCCAAGGACGAAAATTAAGGCAACGTCCTGCGAAGATTGTGGAGGAATGGAAAATCGT